TCAGTTTGTCAGTATCATTTTCAATTTTTTCATCACATGCTGAATGTTGTTGTTCTAATACTGTACTGTTGTCTTCAATGCACTTAGTCTGAATGATGCCTTATAGGAATGTGTCTTTAATGTTAGCTGTGACCACGTTGGAACTCCATCACCCAATACCCTCCAGTAACCCAGGTGGTAGCACCTCATCGATTCCTATCCCTATTCGAAGAGTGCCTCTCTGCTTGCTAGTGGTAGCCTCCCACTTTTCCCACATAGGATATCGGCTCTACCCCGATCCCGAGAGCTCTATTGCTGCTCCCTCGGGGTCGGTGACGGTCTGAATTGCTGGTAAACCAGCTCTGTAGTTACACCCGTACCCTTAATTGTCTCCTTTCTGCCCCACCCACACTTTTGACTTCCTCTCCCCCTCTACACCCCCTTCTCCACCCCCCCCCCCTTCCTGCCCCCTCCACGAGACGGCCTCTTGGTCCTGGGAGGTGACTTTAATTTTGTCCTCGACCCCACCCTGGACTCTTCCGCATCCTCCTCCCACCTCTCTTACAATAAGCTGAACCGCATCAAACGCTGTCTCTTTGACCACCAACTGTCAGATGTCTGGTGCATCCAGCACCCCTCCACGAGGGACTACACCTTTTTTTCCCATCTTCATCAGCGTTATACGCGCATCGATTTTTTTTTTCCATTCATCACAACCAACTTCCGCGAGTCGCGTCTTCAGATATAGGTAATATTACTTTCTCGGACCACGCCCCTATCCTACTTACCCTCTCTCTTGACGAACTTTCTTGTGAACTCCCATAAATCTATGGCCATGCATCTCTCCCTCACGGGCCCTCGCCTTCGGAGGGTACTCGACAACTTCCCTTTTAAATGGTCTCCCACCTCCCTGAAATATCTGGGCATTCAGCTCCCCAAAAACCCCGCTTTGACCTTCTCCCTCAACTTTCCCCCTCTTCTGTCTGCCATTAGCTCCGACCTTAAACAATAGACCACAGGGACCTTTTCTTGGATGGGACGTTGTAACATCTTGAAGCAATCCATCCTTCCCCGACTTTTATACCCCCTCCAAGCCCTCCCTATCAAGATACCATCTTCCGATCCATCCGATCCCTTTTCACCAGCTTTGTATGGGCGGGCAAGCCTCCTAGGCTCAAGTACAACCTTCTACGCTTACCTAAAAGCAGCGGAGGAATGGGTCTACCAGATATACACCTCTACTACATAGCCGTCCACTTGACGTGAGTTCTGGGCTGGTGTCGTCATCGAACCTCTAAGCTCTGGACCGGCCTTGAGCAATCCTCCTCGCCAGTGCCACTATCAGGTCTACCCTGGTGCTCACCCCCCACCTTCCCTACCGTCCGCTCGCACCCCACCATCATGCCCACGCTAACAATAGCCCGATCTGCCTTTTCGCAGTACTCCCTGTCGCCCTCGCCATCTCCCTTGATCCCGGTTCTGGGAAATCCGGCCTTCCCTCCGGGGATAGATGACAAACGCCTCCTTAACCTCAGGACCCCCAGTAGTTGCAGGAAACTCCACTTCCTACACGGTACCTCGTGGCCCACTTCGTTTACATCACCTTCTGACCTCGGCTCTCAGCTCCTTGACCCATGGCGCACTATGCAACTACTTCACTTTTTGAAGTCCCTCCCTCCTCCAACTCAACTCTCCAGACCATTCGAATCTGAATGTTCTAGTGACGGCCCAGTTCGCCATGCCCTATCCTTCTGTTATAAAATCCTGCTCTCTGGAAGCACCCCTGACGACCTGTGGTTCCTCACAAGGTGGGAGGAGGATCTGGGGATCCAGTTCGCCCCTGGGGAACGCACAAAATTGCTTACAATGTCATACCAATCCTCCATCAGCAATAAATATCAAGAGTCCGGATACAAGTTGGTCACCAGGTGGTACAGGACACCTCATACCCTACACTCTATGTACCCCCAAACTCCGGATACCTGCTGGCGGTGTCGCGCTCCTTCAGCGGACATCTTACACATATTCTGGTTGTGCCCCTCACTCAACAAATTTTGGGACCAAGTGCGCTCCATCACCCAAAAGTTCACAGACCTCCCGGTGCCACGCGACCCGGCCTTCTTCCTCCTCCACCACAATGACATACCGACCAAGACCTACAAACGATCCGTCATCCGCCACCTAGTCAACGCAGCCCGAGCGTGTGTTCCAGCCAAATGGAAGAGCCCCGAACCACCCACCGTAACCCAATGGCTCGATAGGGTACATCTACCTTTATGGAAGACCTTACCAGCTCCCTCCGTGACACCTCAGATAGGTTTAGGAAAACTTGGTTCTACTGGATTGAGTTCCTACACTCTCCAGCATATGAAGCCCTAAGGCGAGGCCCCGAGACATGACCTACTGAGCGAGAACTCACTACTGGTCCCCCCCCTGCTACCCTTGCTCTACCTGCTCCCCTCCCCCCCCATTCCCCTCCCTAATCTTACACCGCCCTTTCTCTTGCCCTTCTGCTAATACCCCCTTCCCTTCTACAATCCCAGACGAACTTTATTGCAAACCTCTACCAGAGTGTCGTGACCCCGACCCTCCTGAGGGCTTTGGGTGTCCCGCCCCCGTGCCTCATATTGCCCCAGATCCTAGCACACTGGAGACTGACGGTAGAAGTCTCGCATCTTCACCCCTGTGCCACGGGCTGGATCTGGATCCCGACACATGCTTCTCCCTTTGTTTAACTGTATGTTTTACCTGTATTGTTCTCACTCCCCACTTGGTGAGCTTCGCCGTGGGCTTACACAACCCTCCACCCCTCGGGGGTCTTTGGGTCAGGGCTTCACCCAGATGGACCACAGCGCTGGACCTGCAGAACACCCTGCGGCTACCCCACGTTGCACAAGTGCTAAGGTGGTTGCCAAACCCAGGGTCCAGTGCAAATTGTGCAAAATGGGTGTACTCTCACAGCCTGAGAGAAGGACACAAATAGACAACTAAGGCAGACTGGGAGTGGTTATGCAGGGCTGCGCTGCAGTTTTTCTTGGTTTGCCAGTGTCCAATCACCTGAAGGTAGCAGCATAGCACAGTGGTTAAAAGTTTTACTCTGTTCTGTTATGTACAAGAAATTATATTTTTTGTTCTTGGGTATAATCCTGGGTACACTAGATAGGAAGGGAAAACCATTTATTAATTTTTTTTTCCCAACCAGCTTCCCCCCACCGCTATAGGCAAGGGAGTAGTTCTAGTTAAATTATTCTGCATATAAAAAAAAGGAAGTTGCTGCATGCAGGAACAATTTGGGTGTTGTTGCTGCTGACTGCCTTCTGAGAATTCTAGTTGTTTGGCAGGCATGATCACCCTTGCTTTGAGACAGACAGACAGACAGACAGACACACAGTTTTATATAAAAAAAGGATAAATGTTTGTAATTGTTTTTAAAACTTAGATTTTTTTGCATCCTTTCTAATTCTATACATACATGAGGGAAGTCACACAGGCTCCTTAAATAAGCAGCTTTGGCTTCCTACTCTGCAGTACTACACAGTGCCTTAGCTATGTTGCTGCTTACACTAGAAGTCTAGAGGTCTACTGACCCAATGAAAACAATACAGTCCCCATGTAGCTAATCTCATATCACGGGAATTGTTATGTCTCTTTTTTTTCTGACATACGGATCTCACTCTAGTGGCCAGTCTACAAATCTCTATATTTAACTTAACAGCAAAGATACCTACGAGTAAGCATGTAAATGGAAAAAAAATTTTGAAAGCTATATCAAAATTTATATTGATATTCACATGACAGAAATATGAAGGTTGCCATTGCTGGGCTTCTGAAAATGCCAATTGCCTGGCTGTTTCTCTCAAAAACATAAAAGTCACAGCTCAGCATGTAGCAAATTAAACTCAGAAAAAGCCATAGTCCTTATCTTTATACTTGTTTCAGACTTAAATCCAAAGTGGCAGCATGATGACAAAGCAACTATTTTCAGAAGACAAGGTCAGCCAAAAACAGCTTCCCCTGTTAGTTACTTACCTTAGACTCGTTTCCAGTCAACACATCTAGGCGCTAGCAATGCCCTATGGCCTTCTACAGTCCCCTGGGAGAAGCGCATTATCAAGAGATTTGGAATCCGCAGGCTTCCCTGGAGGTTACCAAAAGGCTGTGTGATATTAGCAGCACATAGGTGAGTGGGCTGGAAACCAGTGCCTTGTAAGTCACTTTTACTTTTTAGCACTAGTAGTTTTTAATTTTTTTTATTTGGGCCTAGTGATTCTGCAAGGGAAAGGGGGGTGGGAGGGGGGCAGATAGGCGCTTAAGTGATCTGGCTGCAAGGTCTGCATTAAAGTAGACCTACAAAATTTAAAAGTGAAGATATGCTACCCTATAGGCAATGATCTAGAAGTATTAATTGTGTAAAAGCAGTACACTAGAAAAAATAAATAAATAACCTTTTGTCATGAATTCCTCCTTAAATATAGCAGTGCACTTCCTGGTATGGGAGTGTACATTTGCACATTTATGCCTAGAGCCTCATAGATGCTTATATGCAGTGTGAGACACTACTGCCTGTGACTGCCAGTCTCACAGGGTATGGAGTGGGATTTAGTGATGTCACCACAATGCTGCTCACTGCTCTCCATGCGAGAGAGAAAGCTGAAGTTTCTGCTTCCTACACCTATACTGCTGCTTCCTGAATATTCCCCCATTATTAATCAAATCACCAGTCATCAGGGGGGCAACTCTGATAAGAAGAAGCAATGCCCTCTACCAAGGTGGCTGACTCCACAAAAAGACACTGAGCAGAACAAGAAATGGCAACTCAAAAACAGGGAAAAGATCAGCCACAGAAAGCGATTTGTCCTCTGCTTGCTCTTTTTTGTACACAACCTAAACAAACTCTTTAAAAGGTGAAGATTGCAATAAGTCAAAATATGTGCTCACTGAAAGTAAAATGCAGTTTACCTTTAAGACTATTCCAGGTTACATACCTTCATCCTCCTTTAGCTTAAATTTTTTTTTTTTACCTGAATGGACGTCAAAATTGATGAAACGTCGTATGTTGGGCTCCAGCGGTTCTGAAGGATATCTAAACATATGCTTCCATCAGCATAAACTACAAGAAAAACATTAGCAGAGTCCTGTTTTAATGTAAGCCACATGTATAGCAGGTTCAGAGTTTTTATAAACAATCACCAGTTAACCAGCTGAACATGAAAACACACATAATGGTGTTAAATAAATGGTTACATTATATTTATCCGTCCGATTCCCAAATATGTTCTGAAATGTATTTATTACCCATGAAATGCAAAGCTTTGCATTTGAAATCATCCCCCTATTGACAGACTATTTAGGGCAACATTAAAATGTACAGAACATGTAGTGCAGTGGCTCTCAACCTTTCTAGGGCCGGGACCCCTTGGTAACATTTGCCAAGTTGTGGTGACCCCCAACGGTAAAATTTAGTGTTGACGCGGCTGCTGCAGCGACATCTGGTGGCGTGGCGGGAGAACTGACACTGCTGCGCTAGGAGAGGGCTGAGAAGGACTCTCACCGAGCACAGCAGAAATCACACAGCGACCCACAGGTTGAGAACCACTGTTGTAACAGCTAAAATGGCAAACCATATAACACAAGCCGAGGGTGTCAGCTTTTATTATTAATAATAATGATGATAATCTAATAGCTATCTAATAGTGGCAGACTCCCGGCGACCCCTGGCAAATTGTCAGTCGACCCCCAAAGGGGTCCCGACCCACAGGTTGAGAACCGCTGATGTAGTGGGTAAGTGTGCAGTGTAAATTTTCCTGAACAGAAAATGTTGTCCATATAGGGGAAGTTACATTGTTTTTCCTCTAGATGGTTGCTTCAGAAACCTATATTGTGAGAAAAACTGAGGCTGACACGGTTGCATTCTTTCTAAAAATGCTAGCAGCCTGGTCATCTCTGACTGCATTACTTTTAGGAAACAATGACCCAGAACAAGCATTAAGAACAGAAAAGCCAGTTAGGTTAGATTTCCTAATTTGCATACTCATTCTAGGTCAATTACCAGGAACACAGATATCAGTCCATGACAATGGACCATTGATATTTTCTGCAATTAACAGGAGGATCGGATATCAGGTTGGAAAAACTAAAAGGGGCCAATTTCAAGATGACAATGACTACTCCCTGTGAAGCATATTTCAGTTTAACTTCCTGTTCTCTGGACATTCTCCCCCCTCGGATCAAGACTTTGGAGTGAATTTTTTCTTCAGTCAAGCAGCTGCTGATAGTGTCAACCCAGATGTAGGAGATCCTAAAAGTCTCTCGAGTCAGCCAAGGAGTGCAAGTCTTCCCAACTAACCAAAAACTGGCAATTTTTCTGCAACAGTCCTGCGCTTGACTAGTCTCCTCAGTTGTACACCTGGACAATGCTTTGGGCCTACTCAGACACATATGCCAAAAAAAAAAAAGGAATCTGGGGGGCGTGGCCTGGACGTTATGGTGGACGGCCGCACAGACAGCGCTCCTCACTTACCCTCTGCATCCGCACCCATCCGACGGCCCACTCACCTCTGCCGACCATGACAAGTAAAAGGAGGACCTCCACGAGACACCCAAACACCCCTAGAACTCGTAGGGGTGCACTGGATCTTTATCTCCGCGATCGGAGTTTGACCGAACGGGCCACATCCAACATGGCGCCGGATGGCGTCCGCTCCGCCGGCTCACCCAGAGGTATGCCTCGTCCCACCCCGATCCCCTCAGTGTTTGACGATGAGGGGGGCCAGACACAATCGGGCAGATCCCCTAGAACAGGGCTTTCAGATGGGGGTACATCCGAGGCTGAAGATGAAGATTGGGACCTGCGGGCAGTACTTAGATCTCTGCCGACCAAAGCAGACCTGCAGGCGTTTGTCTCACACGTGGAGGGGATGCATAAGCAGGCTATTGCAGACGTCAAGGCTGACACTGCTCACCTGGGGCAGAGGGTGGAAACACTGGAATTACAATATACAGGAGCCCTGGACACTATCTCCCTTCTCAAAGATAAAATCTTTAAGCAGAACTCTATCATTGCTGACTTTTCAAACCAATTGGATGACTGAGAACAGAAACCGTCGCTCTAATATACGATTGCGGGGACTGCCAGAGGCGACTAGGCCTCAGGACCTTCTACCCACAGTGACGGGTATCTTCAATCAGATACTGGATAGATCGGTCTCCACGCACATTGAAATAGACCGAGTCCACAGAGCCCTGCGCCCGCCAAACCAAGATCCTGACAAACCCAGAGATGTCATCTGTAAACTGCATAAATATTCTGAGAAAGAATCCATTATGCACCGCATGCGTACCCGCTCCAATGTGGATTTTGATGGAGCGAAAGTCTCCCTGTTCCCAGATCTCTCCAGACGCACTTTGGCACTGAGAAGATCCCTACGGCCCCTGCTGGACGTGTTAGTGTCCGCCAATATCACCTACAGTTGGGGATACCCCTTTAGTCTGATCGCCAAGAAGAATGGGAAAACGGCAATCTTACGCGACAGAAGGGACCTGTCCAAATTCCTGCACCAGCTGGAACTGTCACCGGTGGATCTTCCTACCTGGAACCAACAAGATGACGACATCCCCCTACCTCCAAGACCTCCTCCCTGGCGAAGCGTTGGCTCCCGACTCCCTCGTACCCCAAGATCGCTACCCGGGGCCCCGGAACGTCCCACTGGACTGCGGGGACGTACGCCCCCACTGGCTGAGGAAGGGCCCTACTTCCCGGAGTGACTACCCAAGGAACTCCTTCCTTTCAACATATCCAACATACATGTTTGCTGTCGGATGGCTTAACACCCCTTTTCCAAGCTCACGACTTTAACTGAAGTCAACACTTTTCTGCTTGTTTATTACCTTCAATTTTTCTGCAGAGGGACCTACCTCCCAGAGTTACTACCACTATGGCGTCCTGCTCTGTTCCCCCAGTAGGACTGTTCTCAGTTTTTGAGTTCTGTCAGTTTTCTGACAAGACTGTCCTGGAGAGCGGCCCCCGCCCGCGCGGAGTGGGTCAACTCTCTTGGAGAGTAACTTTAGTACTTAATGTGATTTTGATGTGGTTTTCTTGTTTTTGTCTCCCTTGTCTTTTGTGCGGTTTGTGTCTGCAGGTCACCTGGATATCCGTACGCCACGCTCTACTTCACCTCCTCCATCGACTCTACACCTCACCTCCGCCATTTGTCGAGCCTCAAGGTAATTTCGTACAACGTTCGAGGTCTCCGCTCCCCCTCCAAACGCAGTAAGTTGTGGTCTGAACTCAAACAAATGAATGCCCAGGTAATCATGCTTCAGGAGACGCACTTCACTCAGTGCCCCAATGTACGTCTGCCCACGCACTTATTCTCCCAATGGTACTTTAGCAACTCCCCTTCCTCTAAATCTAAGGGGGTCGCAATAGCATTTCACAAAAACTGCCACTTTAACCTCCAGGATCAATACTCGGATCCTAACGGACGATTTCTGTTCGTTAAGGGACTGATAGAGGGGACGATGGTCACGCTAGCTATGATTTATGCTCCAAACTCCCAACAGTTGTCTTTTTTTTGATACAGTCCTCCCCAAACTCCACTCTTTCAAGGAGGGTGTGTTACTGCTGGGTGGGGACTTTAATTTTTGCCCAGATCCTTCCCTGGACACGTCGACACAGCACACTTCCCATTCCTTTGCTGCCCTGAAGCACTTAAAGGAAAGCGTTGCAGAACCTGGCCCTTGTAGATGAATGGCGAGCATTGCATGCCAATGACAGGGATTACAGTTATTACTTAGCTGTCCATGGCACATACTCTCGTATTGATCTGCTGTTCATTGACCAATATCATTTAGATAACACTCTTGACGCCACTATTGGCTCCATTACGATTTCGGATCATGCGGCTATTGCTCTGACTGTCTCTCTGCCGGGCTTATTACCACAGGAATGGACGTGGCGCTTAAATGAGTCGCTCTTGGATGACGTCTCGATAAGGGGGTCGGCTGCATCAGCGATTTCAGAGTATTTTACCCTTAATCACACAGGGGATATTGCGGAAGCCTCCCTATGGGAAGGCCACAAAGCAGTCATACGGGGTGCGCTCATCTCGCATGGAGCTCGCCTCAAAAGGGCATGGCAGAGAGAGGTTACAGAACTCCTTGCAGCGGTACGGACAGCTAAGCTGTCTCATATGCGCTCAGGCCTCCCCGCTGACAGGAGTGTACTGGACGCGCTTCGGTCTGACCTGACTTTCTTTTTGGATAAAAAACTTAAACAACTCTTACGTTACATATCCTTTCGCTTCTATGAACACGGCAATAAATGCGGTAGACTCCTTGCCAACGCCTTAAAGAAACGCAGACAGATGGCTCACGTACATAAAGTTCATACTAAATCAGGGGATGAAGTACTCCATACCTCCAAAATAGCAGAAGCCTTCTGTTCCTATTACGCTGACCTGTATCATTTACCCCAGACCACCCCATCTATGACTGAGGTTCAGCGTCGCTCTCGTATTCGGGACTACCAGTCTGAAGCTGCTGGCCCCTCTATATCCTCTGAGTTGGCCGAGATGCTAGATAAGACCGATCACGCTATTGGAAATTGAAGAGGTGGTGAAATCCATGCCGGGTGGTAAAAGCCCTGGCCCTGATGGATATACACGTACCTATTACCACAAATTTTTACCCCTCCTCGGCCCTCATCTATGCAGGTATCTCAATGCTCTCGCTGGTGGTGAAAATATCCCTCTAAAGGCGTTGATGGCCCACATCTCGGTCATCTCAAAGGAGGGGAAAGACCCCATGCTACCTCAAAGTTATCGCCCGATCTCACTGATAAATGTAGACGTAAACATTTTCTCTAAAATACTGGTTAACAGATTGAAACCTCTTCTGCCGACCCTGGTCCACCCTGATCAAACTGGCTTTATAATGGGGAGGGAGGCCCGGGACAATACGCTCCGGGCTGCCCATCTACTACACTGGTCCCACTCTGGGTCCCCTTTGCCCTCCTGTCTGTTCCTCTCTGTGGACGCAGAGAAAGCCTTTGACATGGTGGACTGGGTGTTTATGGAAGAGGCACTGCGGAAGCGGGGATTGGGACGCACC